TATATATATATATATATATATATATATATATATATATTTGTATATGTAGATTGAAAAAGAAGATACGATTGTACCTCTTCGTGAATATCGTTGGTCTGTAGGAGATGAGTTGAGGCCATTAACCCCCTGATTGACCCCAACATTCTCTTCTTAATCATGCCGCCTTTCCCAGCGCGATCCCTTGTCGTTTCGAGCTCGGTGCTACGAGCACTAGTCTCATCGTTTTCCGTATCAGAACATAGTTTGTCCATGCTGAAGGAGACCGGTAGAAGCGGACTCCTCTTTCCATTACCAACAATATCATCGGAGCTAGCAGTTTTAGAGAATACCTTTCTTCTGCCGGTTGTTGGGGAATCCTCTTCCGGATTCGTGTCATCGATAAAAACTGAATCTGGGGAGACTGAATTCGAACGTATATTCACGTTTGACGAATTTTCACGATCTTCGTTAATTTCTTCTTTCGTAATAGAAGATAAACCAAATTCCTCGACCCTCGTGATAGAACCCAATTGTTGGGTTCGAGCTTTGGTTAAATCGTAAGAAGCGTGTCTCGTGCTTTTGCTCAATTTATTGTCCTTGAAAGATAAATCGTGATCGTCGTTAGGGTCATTGATCATCGCACCGACGTTCTGCATTCGAGCGTGTCGCTGAATAACTTCGCTGAATTTACTCTTCTCGTCTTTCAACCAATTCCTCATTTTTCCCCAAGCTTTACCCAATTTACGTTTTTCCAATCTCAGACGTCCACGCGATGCATTAGACGCAGTATCGTTTGAACATTCGGGATCCGAATAACAACCGGATGTCGAAGATGTTATTCCCATATTATTATCCGAATTTTTACGACTCTTTTTCCATTTCAACGATCTAACGGAAGATCCGTGCAAGGTATTCGCAGTTCTTATAAATTTTCTTTCGGTGATAGTTATCTCTTTGTCGGTCGTCATATCGTTATCTTCCTTTCGCGAAACTTCGAATAATTTTTGACTCGACAATGTTGTTTTTGGTTTGTCGTATAATTCCCCGGCGATTACGTCATCAGAATTTTCATCGATACGACGACATTCCTTATCATTGTCGTTGGAAGTTTTTTTAGGAAAATCGTACAATCTATCCAGAAGCATTGAATCTTCCTCAATAACATTTTTCTTATCATCCATCTTGATCTCATCTATTTGATTGTGGGTATTCCTTTCGAGTAATTCATCACCTTGAAGAAAGCTGAAACTAATCGTTGGCATACCGTGCTCGTCGGTTTTCACCAAACTAGTTGCCATTAATTCAACGCTATTACTATGTTTCTTATTCTTATCTTCCAATGAAACTTGTTCCTCGTTCGTTTTAGAATCGTTCGAGATAATTTTCAATAATCTCGATTCATCTTGAATATCTTTAGTATTACTATTACTACTCTCGTATCTTACTATATCTAAATTATTTTCGTATAATGCTTCTTCTTCAACGTGAATTTCATTTTTCGAAGATACAACGCGCACAGTTTTATCGTTATCTTCTTCTCGACACTTTTGATCTTCCATTTTGTTATCATTAATCATTTCAATTTCGTTCTCGCGAAAATCACGACAGTGTATTATTATCGGTGCCGGTATATCGTACCAAGTAGAAGTCGAGGCTCGATTACTATTACCTTCGTTACTCATATTAGAATTTAATGTCGAACTTCTCGATGACGATCGTAAGCTAGTCCAGACATGACGCACCTCGTTCATTTCAATTTCAAAGAAAATCCAATTATCCGAGCGGAAAACAATCTCAGATCTTTCACAAAGTATCTTTTTATACCATTTCAACTTTTATCACTTTTTTCAAATGCGCAATATATTTGAAATTCCATTATCGAATAACTTAAATCAAATCAAATCAAATAATTGTCACTTATTGTTAATTATAAATATATATGTGTATATATGTATCTTATTGATTATGGAAAGTATTTCCGAACAGATTCGTGAAACTTTTCTCTCTGAGCAAACGTTTTCTCTTCGACATCGGAGGGAATCCTTTCATGGGAATGTTACGCTCTAGCGAAGTTCGTGTTTCGATCTAGAACACAATGTTTAGAGTTCTTCTCGACGCATCCTTTTTTCTTTTTCCTTTTTTTCATTTGGAATAAAATCCTCCTATCCGTGTTTCCGTTTTTTTTTATATTTTTTTTTTTTTTTTTTTTTTTTTTTTTTTCGCAAGAGAACAACGCCGCGGCGGTGTGTGCGTGCAATGCGTTTTATTTGCTATCGATACACACGACACGACACAGAGAAGAGAAATTTTCAAGGTTCCTTAGATAATAAACACACTAATAATTTCTACCTCGAGATGTGATTTTCCTATATCTAATCGTATTAATCACTAATATATTCATATTATTTAACGACTATATAAAGCAATAATAAATATAAAATATAGTTTTCCCTTTTGGCGTGTGTCAAAGACTCGAAATCGTTTTAGTATCGATTATTATTATTATTATTATTATTATTATTATTATTATTATTGATCGCCTAATGTTTAGTTACCTAGTTAACAGAATGTAAATACAGTTTACTGCGTAAACACAGTCTCGCGCACGATCGTTTAGTTCATTCGCAAAACGATAGACTCTATAGAAACACATAACAAATAGCAAGAACGTAATAACTAATAAAGCCAATTTGAAATGTTACAAACTCGTAAAAACTCGTCTTAAGAATAACAAGAGAGATAGAGAAAAAGAGTATTCGATGTTAAACCGAAGATGATGATGACGTCCAATCGTTCGACCAAACGATTCACAACCACTTTTTCTTCTTCTTCTTCTTTCGTCATACTTTTTCCTCGATTTTTTTTATTTTTTATTCTTTTTATTCTTTTCTTTTTTACATTTAAACACGATGAAACATCGATTATCTATTCTACACAACCGTCACAGTCACTACGAAACAAGTTCTATACCACAGTTGTTTGATTATGTAAACCACAGAGGAGGAGCCAGACACACGACCAGTTTCAAACGCGCGTTCCACTTTACACAAATTTATTGTTCTTCCGACAATTTGCCTATGGAGGGAGAGAAAAAAAGATAGAGAGAGAGACAAACTTATCTTTGCGAATCGTATTTTACGTCTTTTCCTTATCTTTTTACGATCTATTTGCAATAATCAAACTATATTAAAAAAAATAAGAACAAGAAACTAGATATCATTTTCTAATTTGTTAATTAAATTAATTACTGATCAAAAATAACTTTTCGTCAATGCAATTCAACGATGAATCTCTAAACACTTTAACTATTATAACATTAATTAAATAAAAAAAAAAACAAAAAGTAGAACGAGCCAACGATTAATTCGTACAAAAATGAATATTAATCGTTAATGTTATAAAATATGAGACACTCGTTAGAGATATTTTAACACGATACTATATCTACGTATTTCTTTTGTTTTAGTTGCAATTTCAAAAAAGATCGGACAAAAATTAGATAAAAACAAAGAAGAAAAGGGGGAAAAATAAATATAATTTATCACGCCGACTCACAATAAATGTGGCAAAATGTCGAGAAGAAATAACACTTTTATGTTAGCATGGCATCGGAACGACGTTCCGGCAATGACTGGATCCACATTCGAAGCCGTATTATACAATCGTGTTGAACAATTATATCCGTATTACGTCGCGTGTACGCGCGTCGCGGTTGCACAACTTCCATGCGGACGCTGCACGCTGTATTTCTTCTATGTAAAGACACGCATACTAATCTACTATTACTATACTTAACATATACTTTTTTCAAAACACTTTAGTTGCATTCGTTGAAACGTTTTCAAAACTTTTCACCGGCATATTTGTATCCCACAATCGAACGATGATTAATTTTTCCCATATATTTAAAATACATACGCGACAAGTGTCATGGACAATTTTTTTTTTCTTTTTAAATGCGTACTCGTTACTTCATAGGAAAGTGTTAAAATAAACATAATTGCATAATCGAATTAAAACGTATGCATCTAACGTACACACCTGGAATCTTATATTTGTCGAGAACATTAACGAACAATTTTCAAGATATATAATATATAACACGTATTTTTTGTCGAATTTTTATTATTCAAGGTTTATCGTCAATTAGATGTTACACATCCTTCGCTATGAATTAGCCATAATCCTTCGTAAAGTAGTATATATCCTACACACAATTTTCTTTCTGCATAGATCTTGTTAAAATGATATCACTTTATATTTCCAACCTTGATAAATTTTTTGACACTATATAAAAGTTGAATAATTAATTATAAATTTGTCTGATTAGATTTTACCTTATTGTTCGATGTATTATTTATAATAATAATAATAATAATAATAATATTATAAATCATTCGAGAGAAAAGAAATTCACATCTCTGTCGAATACTTTCTCATCGAAAAAAATAATCAAAGATACGGTTACGCAAAAAGAAACAAGTAAAATTGAAAAAAGAAAAGAGAGAGAGAGAGAAGAGAGAAAAAAAAACGTTTCTCTTGCACGAAGCACGTCATCCGAGTAATCGAATAAAGCTGACCCTCTTCTTCTCGTTCGTGCCACGAACGGGCTTCATTTTACGTTCGAAATTACCAACTGGTCTTCTTCGTGCGGTCTTTCATCCCGATGATAGCATCCGTCGAACAAAAGAAAAGAAAATAATTCAATAAGTGTAATAACATCGAACGTAATATTTCACAATTCCAAATTTCCCCCGTCCCACCCCCATTGATCATTAATCCCCCGCACTTCTTAATCACTCAAACTTACTTGCGTTAAACACAAAAGAAAACAAAACACCAGCAGCACCACCACTTATAAAACTTCGATAAAATCAGATTATTAATATTCGAAGATTTTGAATTTCCCGCCGATCACGTTCGTTTTATCACGTGACGAAGATTCGATTCGATTCGATTATATTGACGTGTGGCACGCGTTTGAATTCCAAAAAAGGAATCGATATCGAATTATTTGTTATATATTATACAAAATGAAAGAAGAAGAAAAAGAAGAAAAAAAAGAAAAAGAACTTAGAAATAATGAATAGACAAATAAATGACGAATATAAGTTAACGAACGTAGAGAGGATTAAGAGTTGCAACGAGCGATGCGAGTAAACGAATGGTAAGAACGACGGATAGTTTAAAGGCAGCCAAAGTAAGCGACCGTCTAGGCGGGGGATCTTGCCTTTTCTGCTCTCCCAGTGTATATTTAGCTTTCTTCTCTCTTTTCTTCTCTCCTTTCGTCGTCTATGTACTTCGTTATCTTTCGCGTGTGTGTGTGTCTGTGTCTGTATTCATTTCTCTTATTGCTAACGAAAATGTTTGCACGTGCGTTTTCTCAAAATTAAACTTCGCGACATTATTTCAATCTTCTCTAAATTGTAAGATTTTCTTGGGATCATTTGGGCTTAAACAAAAAATAATCCACTAAAATTATTTTACGATAGAATTAAAAAAACATTTCTGCGTTATTAAACGAACTCACCCCCCCCAACCCTTCCCCCCCCCAGGTGTTCGATGGTTAAGACCAGCTACTTCGAACAACTTTCGGATAAAACTTACGTCACTGTAAACTGCGAAATCTTGAGAAGGATTTCATTTAAAAATATATTGTAAAAAAATTTGTCAAGTTTCCGGCGATCGATTGCATACATAGAAACACATACGAGTTCAACATACTCCAGCCAAACCAACCAGTTTCTCTTCCTGCTCTTTCGTGGGAGACCGATAGCACACACACAGTTCGGGAGAGGGGCGGGGGGAGGGCCACTTGAAATGTCATTCGTTTAGAATATTTTTTTTCTCTTATCAAATTTAAATATTCACATTTATATGTGCATGTTATTAAAACAGACAGCATCGTGATATAACATCAAATCTAGACCCTGTTTCTAATTACATATACATATATATTCGATAAATCGATAGAAAGCAATCAACTAACTAACTAACTATCGTAAAATATTAATTACCAATATGGCGTCTCAAAGTACATTCCGACTTGTTTGAACGATAAATATCAAAGTATAAATTATTTATTAACGATTTGTTAATACCGAATATATCGAGTAAAAATCGAACAAACCGATTGAAGCAAAGTCAACAATATATAGAAAAGAAAATACGTGTAACAATTATAAATTATAAATAACTAAAAAACCATGAGCTTTAATTACAAGTCTGACCACCTTAAACCCCGTCCAACTGCAAAGCCATTTTTTTTTTCTTATCAAGTGTCCACGAACTTTAAACACATGGCAGGCATCCGGTTAGACCAACAACATCAATATTATATACAGGCATTGTAACGAAGAAGAAACTTTTTGCGAAGACTTACGTAGATGTCGAGGGGGAGTTTAGCTTGCATGCAAGATGCAAACCAATGACGTGTAACCGGAAACATTTCTTTCCACTTTTCTTCTTGCACATATACACATGCATATACATACATACAGATATATACGTAAACGAATTAAAGAGAAAAATTCGAATCAAAATAAAAGGAATTATACTCCGTACACCTTTTCACGTTGAAGATATTAACGCAGACGGTCTCGTTATTGCTTCATTTTTTTTTTTTTTTTATCTCTATCAGGTTGAACGATAAGAAATATCAAAAAAAATATGTGCAATGTAGTAAACAATATAGTTAACGCGTTAACGTGTTCTTTTTCTTTTTTTGACACGTTAAAAAATTTCAATGTGAAATATTCCTGACTAAAAAACGTACGTTGACGATATTATATTTATAACGTTTTTAACACACTGACGAAAAACAATCACGTTTATAGTAAGTACTTGTTCGAACGGAAAGTGAGAGTGTATGTAGATAAAACGATAATTCGATGGTTAACGCATTTGCACGAGCTTATCGCAAGGTACTATCCGATGCGTTTGACGAATCTTCGTTGAAACAATCGGGACTTTTTCTTTCACACGTGTTTTATATCTGATGCATATGTATGTATGTATGTATGTATGTAGTATTATACGAAAATAATTTGTACATTTCTTTTTCTTTTTATCATATTCTTTTATTCGATTTAAGAATCGCGACCAAAATTCGAACGGAAATGTACGATAAGTTACAATTAAATTTACTTCTTATTTTTTGTTTGTTAAGTGGACAAATATTTTAACAATTAGAAGATAATGTACACTATTTTAATCATTATATTTAAAATGTGGGCCCACATCGTAATCTAACAGATGTTATCTTCGTAACGATTAAAAACCGCTGACCAATGAGTGTAAAAATATATCTTACGAATATTCCATTAATTTTATTTGACGTCATGATTTTTGGCAATACGTCTTACAATTCTTAATCCTTTTTTTTAAATCCCTTTTGTTACGAAGGATTGTTCTTAATAACGTGAAAAATCATGGTTCAGAACAAAATGACAGGAATTGAATTCTTTCTTTATTAAAGGAGACAACACTAAACTAATGTTTCTTTCACCTCTCTCACCTACTTTCTAAAAATTCAATTAAAATGATGACTCTTAGAACCCCGGTACTACTTTTAAACATAGCGCAATGACTTTTACGAGTGAAAGAACAGTTTATGTTGTTGTAGTAGAGTTGTTTTATTGTTTCCTTTTACTCACCACTGATAATGGTATGGAAGACTATAATACTATCTAACGGTAATATTTTACTCTCTTTTAAATATGATATAGGCAAGAGAAAATAATATTTCGAACAAAACAAAAAGTTGCTAAGAAAATTGTTCGATCAATTACGAATAATACATACGCATGTATGTATACTCATAAAAAAAAAAAAGAAAAAAGAAGAAAAATGCAAAATTCCTAGCATAAATCTCATCATAAATGTTTCGATGTGTACTTCTATTTTATTATTTTGATTATAATTGTACCTTACTCGACACACGATATAGCGGTACTGTATAAAACAACCGGAAGAACGCTCCGTCCACCGGAACTAACTCCTTTCACGATCCACTCGAGTCATGACAAAGAATAAAGTGGGGGAGGGTAAAAAAGAGAAGATGATAAATAAAAAAAACACACACACAACAGATACGTAATATACACGCGTCGATTTAACAGCACTTCGTTAACCCTTTTTAAAAAGACACGTAACTCGAAAGTTACATAAATACGTTTCTATAACACTAATTTGTTTTATTTTAAATGTAATTTTTCAATTTTTCATTTAATTATTCGTCCGCGAAACGTATATACCTATTGGTTCATATTTCAACGTCACATTTTGTTTAGCGAGTACGTATAAGTTATATTTACAGTTAGTTACGGTGTAGTTATACTAATTATTATACTAACGATGAGTTATGTTTTTAAGTTGTACATTATGTAATTTACTTATTTTTCTTTCTTCCTTTTTAGAACAACAAAAATAATCAAATTACACTAAATGTATTAAGATTATTATTACAAAACTTTTCTTCTCTCTTATATTTCCAAATTGAAATTTAATATTGATTAATTGGAAAATGAATTAAATTATCTATTGTGTGTATGTGTGTATGTGTAAATGAAAACGTAGAATAAGAAAATCTAATAAGACTATTAAAACTGTTAGCCAAGCGTATTATAAATACGTATAGACAATGTATATACGGTTAAACACAATCGATTGACCTTTAACAAGTAAAACGTAAAGAATAAAGTTTTTCCAAGTCCGTCGAACTCTTCCCGGTGGTAATTTTCTTTACTCCGATGGATCATTTTCTCACACTTGAAGAGAGTGTGACCGTGGTGGGTAAGTTGGTAGAACAAGAGGAATACGGACATTCCAGTCTTGTCACCGCGAATCGACCTAACCTGGGACTTCGTTAAAAGACCAAGAGGAAAAAGATGTGGTTTACGCG